GTATGTCTGATGGGTTCTGACATCATATTGTAGATTATAGGGCGTAATTGATATCATACGCCTTGAGCACTAAGATTGTTTCTTTTGCGACGATAGATGAATATTAACGGTTTAACTTATTTTTCTTCATGTTTCTTTGCAAGACCTCTGGCCAGAACAATACAAACAGTTGTACTAACACTACTACATCTTGTAACAATTAATTGAACAGCGGAAAAATACACTTAGTCTGTGTTATATGTTAATCTCAGCTGATTATACGTGTTGTTTTATAACATGAACGATAAACATTTGGATTTGCATAATTTAATGACAATGAAAAGGGTTATTTTTCAACATGTTTAGAGGTATTTCTAATGGTAGTTTTTTGATAGATAGTAGCGCATTTCAGATAGCTGTCCATGACATTTGTTTATCCAAATGGATAAGAGTGTGAGTGTGTGGATATGTGAATCGGACGGTTAAATCATCTTACACCTACACCCAATCGAAATGTTCGAAATTTCGAAAGAACACAATATTTTCTTTTACAAAATATGTTTAGTGACTATGTGAAGGTGACTGGGAACTTCATGACGATCTTTAAGATTGTACACCGAGCTTCTTTTGGATTGCTCTTCCGGATTGCTGTCGTCTTGGTATTATCCATTGTGATTTTGTTAAGAATAATAAAGATTAACAACACGCCTCACCGACTGTCCAACATACAGATAAATGCTGATATTCCATGTAGTCTTTCTGTAATAAAACAGAAGGACTTATTGCTTAGTAACTGGACTATTCATCACTCTCTTCAAATTATAGAACGTATGGGTCAACGAATTCACAAACTAAATAAAAAAGATGTCTCGGATTTGCATACTTGCTCTATCTGGATAGTTGGCATATCGAAAACAGATGGAAGCACTTACGGTGCCCATGCCATATGTAACTATCCACCGAATCTAAGAAAAAAATCTTCATGCCTATTTTATTCGTTCGGCATTGGTAAGAACTATGAATTTGATCTTGAACTTGCAAATGAATGGAAATGTCAGGGAGTTGCATTCGATCCAAGTGTACAGTACAACTCGAGACTACATCCCAACATCACTTTTCATATGATTGCAGCAAGAACACTTTCGGAAGACAATGACAAACGATGGTCACTTGTTTCGACAGTTCCAAAAATTCAGAAAACCTTTGCTCATCATGTAATAGATATTTTAAAGATGGATTGTGAAGGATGTGAATATTCTTTGGCACGTGACATTGAAGAAGAAAATCTTAACTTCTTCAACAGTGTTGACCAATTCGTTGTGGAGTTTCATCTTGGAAAACGTTGGATCACATCCAAGAGTCACTTACTCAACATGGGCAAGCTATTCTTTTTACTCGAGCGCGCGGATCTTCATCTCATGCAAGTAACTATGGGTGGGTTAGGAGCAAAATCCCAAGATTTACAATGCCCACAAGAACTGCTCGACATCAAGTATCCGTGTACTACAAACACACAATTACACAACTTATTATTTGCAAGAAAGCATAGAGAACAAGCAAGCTCATAATCAATGAAAGCTTTTTCTAAAATCAATAATCCTAAGGTGCAACTTTACACAAAAGCTCAAATTGAGACTAACACTCTTGTCAAAGCAGACTCGTCAATGTATCTAGTATACGATTAATTCGCTATACTCAACTTTTCTTTTCAAAAATAGATTCCTGAAGACGCTATAGAACAAGAGGTACATGAATTACTATGGCATCTTTAGATTTTAGCAAACATTAGTTGTGGGCGTGAGGACCTTCGTGAGTGTCAGTGTGATGATGATGGTGTGGCTGTGATCGGTTTGAGCCGATGCTTCCGCTTGAGGTTGGGTGTGGGATATGGGTGTAGATGCTTCTTGTCTTCGTACCCAAATTTACATCTACACACATCCTCACATCCTCAGTAAAAAAAATCCACGAGCGAACGCAGTAAAATAAACTTGAATCTGCTGCTAACTTTTTCTACATCCGTTTTATTCATACTACAAATATCGGAATGTAAGGATAAAAATCATATTGAACTTTAAAAACTATGGACTGAGTCTTTGCTTAATCAACAACTGAAATAGTTGACAAGTTTATTATATATTATGATTACTTGTATAGATTAAGATGTGAAAATCACAACGAGTTTCTAGTTTATGTCTGCTACCTATCAAATTTGTTCTCCTGGCATTACTTTAACAAAAATATATAAACATTAAAAAAACCGGTACAAACAGCGACCTAATCCCAAATTACTAAAAGATACTAAAACTCTCTTGTCCGCATTGAAACGAGGGTTAGATATTGTCCAGAATGAAAGTTTCGAAATGGTCACATCCCAATATATATTCATCACATAAAATATCGAAAATTTCAAGAAGAGTCGGCAAGCAATATTATTTTTCTTTCCTGTTATTTTGTCTGTTAGGCCTCTAATGGTTAATTAATACTTTTGTCTAGTAGATCATTGCGAGAACTAAACATTTTAGAAAAGTGAACTGATAGAAAAATATGTACGAAGGTAGAACATAAATGTAGCATTGTTTTATTCTCTTCTATAAATCTTGCTTGATTGTATATATTGAAACGCACATTTTTGCGCTTTCACCAGTTGATTCTTTAATTGTATGACGCCCATTACTGAATGTACGATACCTTTTTTTTTCGTTTCTAACAAAGGTGATCGTCTGTTAATGCAACTTGATTTCATTTTCAAAACAAAACAAAGAAACAGCCTTCAAAATATATTGGTTTTTTAAAAGTAAGAATTGTAAAGTACTTTAAGAAAACTACCGATATTACGAATAAATCTCAAACAGTCAATAGACACTAGTGGAATACATATCAAAAAGAAAAAAAGAAACTGACGGAAAATTAGTTAGTTGTATGATGGATTGATCACTGGTTAACAAACACTTTTTTCGTGGTTGAAACTACAAACAGACCAATAAATAATATTCTCTCTCTGCTGTATATGTAAAAAAGTTGATTAGTGCTTTGTTCATTGATAGTAACCTCGATTTCATGAATGAATCATGTAACCGATAGAGCACGTTGAGTTCTATTTTGATTCATCGTTGGTCAAGTTGAAGATAACTGCTGGGAAAATCGTGACAGTTTTATCGAGAGTTTAAACGTTGTTTGACTGCTCTTTTTTGTAGAACTTTGGATTTTTCTCAAGATAGTTGGAGTCACCTTCGGTGCTAATCGATTTACGAAATACTCGAAATTTGACCAAGGGTATTCTACATAAATTTCCGAGAACAAAAACTCATTTTAAATTATATTGAGAATAAACAAAAGATAATCGACTAAAAAAACCAATTCAAATGCTCGTACAGTAATACTCGAAGAGCACTGAAAGATGATATGAAGACAAAACCTTGAAAAATAGCCAGTTCTATAGAACGAGCTGAACGAATAAAAAATGGGTAACAGTTGGTGGAAAAATGTGGAACATAATCAATAGGATCAAATTCAAAATGAAAATGTTCATATGCGCTGACTTTAGTGGACGCATACACTTAGTAAAAAAAAAGAATCGATAACAAAAACATTGTTATTCAGCGAATTAAATTCGAAGAACAAGCTAGCAAAATAGCTGATATATGGCTATTTGAAAACATATGAAATTTCATAAAAACAAAAATCAGAAGAAAACGAAACTGGGAATATAACAACACTTCAAATTGATTGATTCAATACAAAAGAGATCTCAATATCATTAGTTACAACAACACATGAAAATAAAATAGTTTTTATTTTCTTTTTTTTCTTATTGTATGGATAATAGAAATGAAACTATTCTAGACATTTGTAGCAAGTAATAATTTCATAGTTTTTCATTCTTGGAGATTGAAAAAATTCTTCGTTATGATATTCTTTGAATCTCTTTGCTATAACTAGAACTAGAGACATGAAAATTTACAGTAATATTCATCGAATTGTAAAAACTTGTACGATTTTAACTAATATTATTTTAATTATTAATCACACTAATTTCACCGATAAGTAATATTTAAAAAAAGACTCATGAGATCAATATGAATGAAAAATGTTGATTCTGAATTCCAATAAAAGAAAGATAGATTGTTATGAAGTTTTCTTGTTTTCTTTTTATAAAGATATATAATAGTTCTTAAAAAACTGAATGCACAAAAAAAAAACGAAATTCCTTTTTTTTTTTAGTGACTCGTATACTGGATGACCTTACGATTCCTCTCCTAATATTCTTGAATAAGACAACCGTTTAGTTTTTCTTTTTTTCTGCCGAGGGAAATATGAAAATATTTGATTAAAGAAATGTACTACTTATAAATTATGAATATTTTCTATTGTGTGTACGTTTTCATGCATGTGATCATTCTTGAAGAAGAATTAATTGTCGAAGAAAAATTGAAAAGTTTTTCCATATCAAATAAAAACGAATTTTGAAGACTTAAAATATACATATAAAATTCTAAAAAAATATGATCTAAGACTTTTTCGTGATTCAATCATGCTATAAATTATTTATTCATCTAAATTATTTGCATAACACTACTTCTTTACAACTTTTCTCACGCATACAATATAACATCTAACAAGATGTATCTTCGAATAATCAACATGTTCAAATCTGACAAACAAAAATGGTGTTAATTAACTTAGTAAATTTATCACAAGATAAATTAGTTGTAATATATATAGTTTTATGACAAATAATATTAACGTGGAATTTACTTTTCTTCATTCATTCTAAAAAAAGAACTTCAGAGGCCAAAGGAAAAAAAGATATATATAGATATAGATATAATGATTCATCAGTTTCCGCCATTCTTCATTTTTCTCATTTGATATAAACAACCAACCACTAGTCGTCGTTGTCTTTTTCCTCTTAAAGTTATCCATACTACGTCTTACTTTTTCTCGTTTCTTTTTATTAAGTGGAAGTGATAGAAAAAGACTACTCTTTCATCTCTTTTATTCAGATTCTTTTTTCCTTCATCATGAACATGGAAGGTAAGATAGAAGAGAAAAGAAATTCACTTTCATCGATTTATTTATTTATTTTTTTATCTTTTCCCAAGGTTGTCCACGTCTTTCTGCAATAAGTTTCGATTTAAAATTATCTATAGAATCAGTTGATTTATGTGAAAAAATTCCAAATGTAAAATTTTATTTTGACCTATTTTCTAAAAATAGAATCATACTTGTTTTTCTTTCCTGTTATTTAGTATATAACAGTTAATTATCAAGAAAATGGTGCCAATTTTTCTAATGAATGTGAACAAATAAATCGTCTACGAGAAGTAAATTTATTAAGAATAAATCAATTTTTAATCGAATCTTCTTCTTTTTTGTTTTTGAAAGAATGCTATTAATTGTTCAACAGATGAATCTAGCGTACGATGTCTTAAACGTTATTATTGTCAATTACAATTATTACGTAATCGTTTTCCTATGTTACCTGATACAGAATGTTCTGTTCGATTTACATGGTAAAATTTACAATAACAACAAAAAAACAAAGTACTTTTTTTTTTTCTTCTAAATTATTTATTTAAATAGGGAAGATGGATTTCAAAAAGATGAAAATACATATAATGATATTCGATTTGAAGAAGCTTGTATTTTATATAATATTGGAGCAATCTATTCAAAATTAGGTGCCAATGAAATAAGAAAAACACATGACGTACACATATTATGAAATAATAATAATAATATTTTTATTGTTTTCAAATTTTTGTTTTTGTTAAGAGTCTAAAAAATGCTTGTACTTATTTTCGATATGCAGCTGCATGTTTTGAAAAATTACGTGATCAATATATACCATATTCAACAGATTTTACTTCAGAATTATTAACATGTCAAGTTGATATACTTTTAGTAATTACTTTGTTTTATCTTTTAATATTATCGAATTAAATATTCTGATCTATTTAAAGGCTCAAGCACATGAAGCTGTTCTTGAAAAATCATTATTTGATCAACGACCACATTCCATTAATGCTCATTTAGCTATGCAAATATCGGAATATTATCAAATGGCACTTCTAAATCTTATGAAACCAGGGATTAGTTCAATTACATCAAATAAATTTCGAGTAAGTTCTAGTTAACTACTCTGATCGACTTAAGCTTTTTTTGTTTTTTATTCAAATAAGAATATTTTAATATTAACAAGAAATTTTATAGCATGTGTACACTTATTCGAGCGTTCAATGTTATTGATAAAAATTTCATGTCAAACAATGATAGTTTGCATGATGTATGAAATTATCTCTGAGTAGGCTTAGCATGACAATTGATGAGATTTATTAGCATGTATCCTGTAATTTTAACTTTCTGTCAATCATTTCTCCAGTGAGTTTTCTGCTGTAATCAAGTATTCTTTGAAAATTATCATGATTATTACCATTAGTAGAGCGGAAATTTATACGAAAATCATTATAGATAAAAGAAAGTTCGCTAGGTCTCAGAATTACAGCAGATTGAAGTCTTCTATCTGTGATACAGTAAAGACAGTTGAAGTTGCAATTGTCAATGAATGAATGGATACTAACGTTTTAAAATAATGATGCTTGCAGTTAGAATTTACTGACGAGAGAACGTTTTCAACTGTCAAATCTCTTTTGAGTTCGGACTTAGTGCATAAGTTAGACCTCAGCAAGATATGAAAAATCCCAAAAGATTAAATCCTCTCAGGTCTTCTGTCCAGAGTTATAGACATTTACTGGAATTTTAGCCTAGAGCATAGAATATATGAACAAATCGAATGACGGTATTTCGATCTGAGCTTTTGCCCACAGATAGGTCTATGCATGAATAAGAATGTTCTGAAAATTTCAGTTCAAAAGAACATATCATTCCCGAGATATTAAAATCCCAAAAAAAACAGAAAATTCTAGCATCTTTTGTCGTATATCAGTTATTTTTGGGAATTTAATATCTCGGGAAGGATATGTTCTTTTGAGCTGAAGTTTTCAGGACGTTCTACTCATGCATAGACCTGTCTGTGGGCAAAATTTCAATCGAGATACCGCCATTTGATTTATTCATATATACTATGCCCTAGGCTAAAATTCCCTATAACTCTGGACAGAAGGCCTTAGGGGATTTTTCATACCTTACTGAGGTCTATCTTATACACCAAGTCCGGACTCAAAAGAGATTTGACAGTTGAAAACGTTCCCTCGTAAGCTGTACTTTTACTAAAAACACCATCAAATCGGCACTTCATCTGCAATCTATTAGTAATGTAAAATTTACATTTGAGAAAAAAAATTCGTCAAAATTTGAATTTCAAAATATATTATAAATTTTTTTTTTTAATTAAGGAATGGCGTGTTGCTTTAATCTATAAAATCTCATATTATCTCGCAATAACATATTATTGTAATGGTTTAATAGCTGATGAAAATAAAAAACATGGTGAAGCTGTTTGTTATTTTGAAAATGCTATTGAACGACTTAAAGATGGATGGAAAACTGCAGAAAAAATATCAACAGATAAAACAAATCTATATAAAGATGCACATTCATTTACTATTGATATTATCATGGAAAAGTACATAATTCTTGTTTTTTGTTTGTTTGTTAAAACCAATCAATTTTGTTTCAAATAGATATAAAATAGTGAAACGTGACAATGATAGTGTTTATTTTGAAAAAGTACCAGCATTATCAAGTTTACCAATTGTACAAGGTAATTTTATTAAATTAATATAAAACAAAAACATTTTTTTTTGTTTTCCTTTTTTTTTGTGTTATCATAAAAGGAGCTATTGTGGCTAAATCACAATCATTTGATTGTCATGATCCGGATGTGTCTGGACCAGATATTTTTCAAAAATTAGTACCAATGGTAAATAATATATTATTTTAAAATAATTAGTTGTAAATAATATTTCCTTTTTGATCTTTAGGATATACATTTAGCTGTATCAGAATATAGTGAAGAAAAAGCAAAACTTCTACGTGAAATAATTCAATTAATAGAAAATAAAAATCAAGAACTTGAGTAAGAAAACAGATCTATATGATTTATATAATTTATTTATTTCAAGAACATTTATGAATTGTTTACAATTGGATCGTATTCCATTAAATAATGAATATCTTCGATTACCACATGAATTACTCGATTGTTGTGCTGCAATTGTTTCACGTCCAAATATGTCTAAAGATTTACTTTCAGCTATGCAACGTATGTAGATTAACAATATTAAAGTTAATAAATTAGATAATAATAATTATAAAAATGCATAAAATAAGAGAGTAGTGTCACATATCCAAAGTTTTGGAGATGCGCCCACATCTCTCACAGGAGATGCCGCATCTCCCGCAGGAGACGCGGAATCTCCTTTAGAGATGCACATCCCCTGCACCCACACTCGCATCTCTCGCGCTAGACGTGGATGCCTCTCCAAAATTTTGGATATGTGACACTGCTGTGTATTGATTCCAAACAGACAAGCACATTTCGAAGAACAAAATCAAAAGTTTTTTTGTTTTGTTTCATATTTAGAACTCAATAGTCAACATCATGATATAACCGAACAGATTAATGAATTTGAACAATTACTTCGAATTTTTGAAGAAAATAATGAAATAATAAAATCTAATAAAGAATATAAAGATTTACAAATAAATCTTAAAACAATTCATGAAATGATATTAGAAGCAAATGAAAATAATATTGAATTACATCAACATATAATAACAATAATTGAACATATAAAAATTCTTAATTTACCATATGAACAATTAGAAAAAACTTTACCATTAATAACTGAATTTGATGGTATAAAAAATTAATAAATTTTATTTTATTTTTTTTTGAATTATTTTCAATTTAGATGAAATAAATAAATCTAAATTAGCACATATTAGATTATTAAATGAAAAAATTGAAACAATGAAAAAACAACGTGAAACATTATTAAATGATTTTCGTAAAAAAATTCAAAATGATGATATAACAAAATTTGTTCTTATGCAACGACAAGAAAATCATAAAGTAATTTAGAGAATTCTTTTGTTTAAATTTTCTATTCTAATTAAAACTTTTGTTTTTGTATTATTTAGAATATATTTTCTGAACAAATAAAAAAACATGAAGAATCTATTAAAATTATCAAACAAAATTGTATAGCACAAGATAATATTTTAAATTCATTAACAGAAGCAAATGCAAATATTGCTAATATACGAACAAAAATTTCAACTACATTAGAAACGTAAATAATTATCATAAAAAAAAACAAAAACTTCCTCGAATTGAATTTTATCAGTTTCTAGTGAATTATTCTTTTTTCTAAGAATTTAAAAATATTCATACACGGAAATATTTAGTATCATGAGAACATGTATTTATTTTTATTTTTTTTTGTTTTTAGTCGTCATCGATTAATTGATGAATATATTAATTCATTTAAATTATTTGATGATACTTTATCAAAAGTATATGAAGGCATTGAATTTTATAAGAAAGTAATATATATTCGATTTATTTCAATTATATATCTTAAATTTTTTTTTTTAGCAAAATATAAAATTAAAATCACTTAATGAACGTTTTATTATTTTACAATCTCAACAATCATCAAAAATTTCATTAAATCATGAAGTATCATCGAAAAATAATATTGATTCACCAATCATTGTTGATCGACCACGTCTTAAGGATTATTTAGCTACTAGAAAACCTGAAACATGGGGTTCAAAAATAAATCAATCATCAATTAAAATTGAAGAAAATATGTATATACCATCAACAATATCACCTAATACTAGTTTTTATACGGATCGAATATTGCCAACCGGTCCTGTATATTCAAATATAACTGAACAAACGTTTTCACTACATAATCAATTTCCAATACAATCATCAATACCTTTTTCATATGAACATTCAATGCCATATCAACAACCAACATATAATCAATTAAATTCATTTGATCAGAATTCAACTTTATTTGCTCAAAATTATGCTAATCAAGCTCAAATAAACTATAATCCTGTTAATGCTCAATCATTTCCTCAACAACAACAACAACAACAATTCTATCCTACACAATCATTTCAATCTCAACAATCAACTTATCAACCTTTCATACATCATCAATCAGATTTACAATATCCGTCCAATTATCAATGCCAAAATTTCAGTGATTCAAATCGTACTATTCAACAATCTTTACCAACTAAATATGATCCATACCGTCCACAACCAATTGGTGCATATGACATTCCAACAACATTTCCACCACCACCACCACTTATTCATCCTCAGAATGTTTACCGTCCAGGTGGTTTACTTGGAATAAATCAAACACAAATTCCATCATCATCATCAATGATTAACAATAATAATCATCCAAGTCAATATGTTCAATATAATCCCACTTCTCCTGCTTCTGTATCTTCTTCTTTTGCTAATTTATCAATAAATTCAATGTCAAATCATTAAATATTATTTAAAAATTTCTATCTTAAGACAACGACAATAATATATCTATTGATTTAGTTGAACCATTGTCTAATATATTATTCAATGTAGAAGACTTATGTAATGATTCTTTTTTTTCTTTTGAATCAGAAGGAAAATTTACAAAATTTTTATTTGAAGTTGAATGAGTACGTAGCAAGTTTTTCTCGAAGCATAATGAAAGATTTATATTTTTAAGTGTTGTTTTTCTCTCTATTATATTACCTTCATAGAGGATATAGCTTTTGTTAAAACATCATGAAAAACAAAAAGCAATCATTTCCGCTATCATTTATTGCAATATATAAAAAAACAAAGAAACAACAATAGAAAAGAAAAATCAATTTATAATCCAATATGAACTTCAAAAAAAGAAAAGTTATGATCTGTATGATTTCCGGCACTTTTAGAACATGACTGTATTATTTTCATAAAAGAATATTGTTCAAACAGATATGAATTACTTAAAGGAAATAATTACAAACTTATGAATATTAGTAGTCAATATTAATTTTTGCTTCAAATAATGATGGAATGTCTTTAGTTGTTTACTTCCGATTTCAATGACATAGTGTTCGAACAAGAACTCTAAATGTTTCTTCAAGCTATGAAGTTTTTCTGTTTTTCTGTGATAATGTATATAACATGCATTTTTGTTTTTTGAAAGCTTCATATTTTAAAGAAATTTCATTCAAAACTTGTGAATTTGTTATGACTTCGATGGAACTGAAAGCACTGCCAAACAAAAAAAAACAACCTATATCCATGAAATAACTATCAATTCATAAGAATGTTTTCGACTGTGTAAATGAGTTTTCTATCATTGAAATAAATATATTAACATCAAAATATAGATAGCCCTGTAAAATACAAGAAATAACTTGAGATCATCTATATATATATAACGTTCAGTGTCTGTGTCGGGACAAAGGTCAAATAAGGCTATAAGGAGAAGGCCCAAGGGCTGTTGTAATGGAGACCCATAGGCCCTCAAGGACTATTATATAGGGTATCCATAGATCCTCAAAAGCTATTTCATAGGGGTACCTATAAGTCCTCAAGGGCTATTATATGGTATATCTATAGAACATGAAGAGCTATAATATGGGGGTAACCATAGATTCTCAAGAGACTAAGGCTACAATAGCTACAAGGCTATAAGGCCGAAGGCTACATGGACTCTAAAAATATGTGTGATATAAGAGAATGAGAGGTCGTAGGGCTATCTATCTATTTACATAATATCGAGTGTCTGTTCCTGAATGAAAAGTTAAACGTCTTAGGTCATACATTAAAAGAGAAAACAGCCGTGCAGTATGCACGGGCTTTCGCTAGTTGATGATATTCCATCGTTGCTTTTCAGACCGAACAATAAGTCTACTTAAATATAACATGATAAATTGATGATCATATACTTTTTCGAAATAAATAAAACTTTATACTGGTAACAGCTGTAAATGATTATCATAAACATTATTCGAATAATTTGACAGCTTTCTCTAGTACAATAAAAACGAAGAAAAAAAAACACCAACAGAACAGTGTCGAAGAGAAAATATTCAATTTTCAATCATAGAATTATTTTTGATGTACTCTCTGTATAGAATTTTATTTGTATTAAGAAAAGAGATGAAGCATTTTTACAATTATCTAGAAACAAATATAAATATGATGACAGGGTCATTAACATTAACATATCTTATACACATAACTATAGAAACTTCCATTATTGATCAACTTCAAGTATATAATATTCTATCATCACTTAATTATATGTTGGACAATGTTAATCATCAACTTCGTCATTCATAAAACAAAACCTTGCATCAAATCGACACAAAAAAAAAATAATTATATTATACTAAAAGTAATAAAAAGCTTGTAGTTTTATCGTTAAAATCAAATGTTTTTTTGTTTTTACGTTAATCAAATTCAAAAATATGTTTGTAATCAGTTTTTTTTTCGTTGACCTTAGATATGATTAGTATTTAATTGATATTTGAGTATCATAGAGTATATCAAATATACATAAACACATATTTTCAAGTAATGCATTTTTCTACGTTTTTTATATATAGATTAAATATACACTTTACCTTTAATAACTAAATAATGTATTGCATGACTGAAGACAAAAAAATCAGATATGAAGAATGAATGTGTAAAAAAAAAAATTGAAAAATATTTATCATTATCAATAATATAAGTCGACTAGCAAAAATATATTGTATCGAAATGAAGAGAGTTTAATTAGAGAAATAATCTCAATTATATATTGCATTAATATTGAACAAGGAAAACATTATAGTTATTATTTATACAATATTAAATTGATTGATTAGAGTATGATCAATATCAATATTAATATTAAATTTAATAATTTCATTATTAATTTCATTCCATTTATAATAATAACCTTGAATTGATTCATTTTCTTTTGTTGAAAATTGTAATTCAAGTAATGAATTTTTACTTCTTAAATTTAATTTAAGTATATTTAATGAAATATAATATATAAATTTAGGTGTTTTAATAAGTGGAATATGAATAATAGTTGAATTTTGTAATTTTTTAGAATAAAATTCAAATAATTTAACTTCTAATAATTCATTATTTATATCTGTAATTGATAAAATACGTAAATATAAACCTAATTGTTCTAATATTTGACCTTGATGTTGTTGTGGATGAATGATTAACGTTATTAATGAAGAATCAACCGTTGACAATGATTGTTGTTTCTTGATCAACAAAATACGAAAGAAAAAAAACAAAAACATTAATTTAATACAAAAACTTTTTTTTTTTAATAACCTGATCAATAAATGATACTGATTTATTTTCATTTTCGATTAAAATTGATTCTTTTATTTTTATACAAGAAATTTTTAAAGGAAGATTACATATAGAAAATAAACGTCTTAAACAAGTACGTAATTTCCATTCTTGAACTGTTGTTAATCGAATATCAGGTTCAATTAAACAAATTTTTAACCAAGTATTTATTGAATGTGAACGAACAAATTGATTATTATTTATATGTATATCAGATACAATTGAATGCCATGAAGAATTTGTATGACTAGTTACTGTTGTATCAGATAAATCATGTACTATTACACTCATATTATCATCGTTGATAGTTGATGATCTATTATCAGTTTCAATCGATGGGATACTCATACTATGTTATGTATAGATAAAAAAAATAAAATAAAATAAAATATTACAGATGCGCCGTTTTCCATTAAAGAAAAGAAGAAAAAAAATGATTTGTTTTTGTATTGTACTTTTACTTGTATGTCAAATACTTTTTCTAGCAAGTTTTCCGTAAATTATATGTTTTAACATAATGTTAACGATTATGTGCAATTAATCATTACTCAATGCCTAGATAAATGATATTGTCAAGCTTTTAAGACTTTTTCTTCGGGTTTTTTTTTGCTTCTTCTATATTACTATGAAAGACAAAATTGTCATATCATCATGATAAAGACAGTCTCTTCGTTGAAATATACATTCTCTGTTACTATCTTATTCGATATTTTATGATGAGATGAATCATTCGAACATTTGTGCTGTCTTCCATCAGACATCAAGGCGTTCTCTCTCTATATATTTTTTTTCTTCTTTTCTATGATTTATTTTATTTTCGTATATGATTCTATTTACAAATCATAAATAGGGGTGTGTGTGTATGTACGATTCGTTTCTTTTCTTTCCCTTATCAATATTTAACTAGACACGCTTTAATACCTTGATAAAAGAAGAATTATATTTATTTATTTATTTATTTTTTGTTTTTGAAAACTAATCCAGAGACCATGCCATTAAATTTTGCTCAAATACTCCAAGATGATTTAATTACATCTATGATACGGAAAACAGCATATGGACTTGCAACAACATGTGTCCTTGGTGCTGCTGCATATGCTGGATATTGTGTAGCTGCACCTGAAAAACATCAAATTAGACATTATCGACGTCCAGAACTAAATGACCAAGTAAGTTTTCAAGTACAGAAAATAAAAATATGACATCAATGCTTATGTATTATATATAACAAAGAAAATATGTTACACTTTTCTTTTGAATAAAATTAGCAAGTTGATCTACGCTAATAGTATGTGTAGGACGTATTTACGATACGTACTATTAAGATATTCTGTTTGTGATAAAAGAAACTTTTTCTTTTGATTTGAGAGCATAGATGATTTTCTTTTGTATCAATTCAATAGTAAAAAAGAAAAAATAACATTCGAATGTAGTTTATTATAATAGAAATGATATTAAGTAAACAGATGGCGAATACAAAGTCCATTAAAGTGGAATGTATGTCAAATATTTCTAAAAAGAAATATTTTACTCTTGAAAAAAAGAAAGAGATTAGTCTAATGAAAATATTTTGTTTTGTATATTTATTTATTTTTTTTTAATTAGATTGAGAAAGTTCTCGATTCATTAAAAATAAATGATGAACAATTAATAGAAATAATGCATTTATTAGAAGAAGAAATGAATACTGGTCTATCATCATTTACACATGATCAAGCAGTAGTAAAAATGTTTCCAACATATGTACGAAATATTCCTAATGGTAAAGAAATTGGTCAAATACTTGCACTTGATTTAGGTGGAACTAATTTTCGTGTACTTTTAATTGATTTACGTGGTAATTCAAGAATTGAATTAACATCAAAAATTTTTCTTATTCCACAATCTGTTATGATTGGTGATGGAAAAAGAGTATGTATATTGAAATTTAGTTTTTTGCACTACTTTTCAATTTTTGTCTTATCAAAAATATAAGAATAACATGTTTTTTTTAAATTTAGTTATTTCGTCATTTAGCTGAATGTTTACATGAATTTATGCAAAAAGAACATATATTAAATACAGGAATATGTTATCCAATAGGTATGAGTACTTCATTAAAAGAAAAAAAAAACAAAATATTATTTTTTAGGTTTTACATTTTCATTTCCTTGTCACCAAGAAGGTCTTGCATCAGCAAGATTAACAGCATGGACAAAAGGTTTTAGTTGTTCAGGTGTTGTTAATGAAGATGTTGTTAAACTTTTACAAAATGCTATTGATGAAAAGGTAACTATTAAATTTCATAGAATAATTACTTTGAATATAATATTTTTCTAAATATAATTAATTTCAATTTTGTTATTGTTTTTATAATGTTAAAGGTTATTGTGACCTGATTGGACTATAAGCACTTAAAGTGCATCGAATATTGATGGTACCCATTTATTTTGACATACAGACGAAAGAAAGAATACTACTCCTACTCAGCTACTTTACGAGATGGGATATTGTCTAATGAGAAATTCATTTGTTCGATATTCTTTCTATAACTAATACTAATTGTAGCTCTGAATAGAACGCTAGTTTAATGTTGAGTTCGTATGTTTAAATGCTTCATAGATGATATATTTGATTTATTCATTTTATTATTTAAATAAATTTAAAATTTAAGCAAAATCAAACATAGATTTCAAAAATGATTTAATTTGAAATAGATGAAAAGAAATCAATATTTTTTTAATACTCGATAGATTATTTATATTTTCTTGAAATTTACACTTTGTATTTAATTAGAGTATAATAAACAAGAGATAATCAAATAAAATAATTCTATTAATTAATATATAGAAAGAATTTAGTTTTGCGATAATCAGATATATATAATTGTGTAAACTTTTATTCAATAATAGAAAAAAAAACAAACATAAAGCTTGCAAATATATTCGATAGGCATCTAATTACTTTTAGCAAACTGTAATTGAATTAAAAAAGAAACGTTAAGTTTATGTTTATTTATTTTTTTAATTGAACGTAGTCTATATGTAATATAAAAAGATCTTTAATCGTAAGAATAGAACTACAAGAAAACAACTGTTCAAACAGAAACTAAAGATTCTAGTTAAATTTTATATGATTTTTTTTGTGAATTGTCTTATGAACCATGACAATCAAAATATTAATTCCGAAGAAATAACAAACAAATGCTTTTCACGACTAAATCAATAGAAAAAAAGAATATTTTAGAACTGCTTAGATATTATACAAATAAACTATGGGATAATTTTCTCTAGATTGAAAATGGAATTAGGCAGAGATGTATATCTCAAGGCTAATAGAAATAAATTTTGCATGGACTAGAACTAAAATAATTCAAGTTTGGTCCTACACATCTTCTAAATCTCATGTATAATTAGTAGTTACTCATTGGTTCATTCGAATGTTGTCTTTACATCATCTCAAATTAAGACATATGTTTCTTGTTGAATTAACTTACATGACTAAATAGGAAAACAAAAGATACACTGAGATAAGAATTTAAATTCCTTAGAAAGAGACATATAAACAATGATTGTGTAGGTTATTGTTTCTTCCGATATATATATATATTTATTTTTAGCGTATCAATGCAAAATGTGTAGCTCTTATTAATGATACAGTTGGAACATTAATGGCATGTGCATATAAAGATCCATTAACAGCTATTGGTCTTATATTAGGTACTGGAACAAATGCATGTTATATTGAAAATTTAGATAAAGTTGGTACATGGAAAGGTAATTATAATGAACCAAAACAAGTTATTATTAATATGGAATGGGGTGCTTTTGGTGATAATGGTCGTTTAAATTTAATTCGAACAAAATATGATGAAGAAGTTGATCTATCATCAATGAATCCTGGCAAACAAATGTATAAATAAATTATTTTTTTTTGATAGAAAAAAATTTTGTTTAATAATTTTTCAATGTATATATATTTTATAGTTTTGAAAAAATGATATCAGGATTGTATATGGGTGAAATTGTTCGTTTAATAATACTTGATTTACTTCAACAAGAATTACTTTTTCTTGGTCATCGTGATACATATGGAGATTATAAAACACCACTTTATAATCGTGGTGGTTTTTATACAAAATTTGTTTCAACAGTTGAAACTGATGAAGGTAAATAAACAATTTTTTTTTTCTCGGATTTTGATAAGAACTTTTTTGTCATTTCAAGGTATTCAATTTTCAAATACACGTCGAGTACTTGAAGATATTGGTATTCGAAATCCTACATATGATGATTGTGCTATTGTTCGACATATATGTCGACAAGTTTCAAAACGAGCTGCTAAATTAGCAGCTGCTGGTAAGTGGCTAATGGTTTTTATTTTTCTTGTTAGTGTTTTATTAAAATTTTCTCTTCCCGGATGAACAATTTAAAATGTTGGAAGTATTAACTTAATTTTTTGGATAGGAGTGCAGCTTTTCGACTTGAACATTGGACAAAACACTATTTTCTTATAAAACTTATTGAAATAATGAATATAAAATATTTTAAGGTTTGGCTGTATTAATCAATCGAATTGGAAGATCGAATATTACTGTTGGTGTTGACGGATCACTTTATCGATATCATCCACGTTTTAAACATAATATGGAAAGATGTATGGAAACATTAGTTAATAAATCTATTCAAGTAAGATATTATGGTTTTTGTTTTTAAACTAAGATTTCAATTCTTAAAATTCTGAGAATTATATGAAAAGAACTAGTTATTTATTAGACATCTCTATAACATAAATATATAAATGTTGTGCCTCGATGTCAAAAATATATATGGTTAATTTTTGTTTTTTTTTGTTTTAGTTCAAACTAAGTTTATCTGATGATGGTAAGTGTATTCATATTATGTCTTTATTTAAAAAAAAAACTGTATGAAATTCTTTTAGGTAGTGGTAAAGGTGCTGCCATGGTTGCCTGTCTTGCTGATGGTTCATTATATAAAAAATCTGTTGATGAAACAACAGTTGACTAAAATTATTTTTGCAAATTTTAAGAACTTTGTATACAAAATACAAATTTTTTTTTTTTTTTTTATTGAGAAAGTCTTTCATGAGACTTGTTGGTATTTTATTCTTATAAAAGTAAAACTATTGTTTTCGATCAGAAAAAAAGATACATGAATGCTTTGTTTGTTTTTTTTCGCTTTCTATTTTTGTCTATACAGTATTTATATCATGTGTGATTTTTAGTTATTTATCGTTAGGATATGTTTTGTGATTTGTTAGCAAAAAAGAAAACAAAATAGCGAAATAAAAGCAATAAATAACAAAGATTGAACATAATTCATATAACTATTTAAAATACAAATTATTTCAATTATGTTAAACAAACTAAAATTAAAAGAAGTCTATTACAATTAGAAACATAAGACCGATACATATATTGGAAAAATAATGTTAGTTGTCGAACATTTTTTTTTGAAACTCTATCATTAGTTTTTGTGTATGTGTATGTGACGGTGATACTTCATTCAGTCTATTTACAATATAAAATAATATTTTAATTTTGCTTTTGAATATAATATTTATCATCAATCGAAGTATATTTGCGTTGAAAAAGAATTGTTGTTAATTAGTGTTATATCAATTTTAAAGTAAACTAACACTCTCTAGAAAAGTATTTATCATTTGATCGAAAGGTTACCGAAATAAAGTGAAATTTTAATTGTAGAAGATATATTTTAATATGCACTTATTTGATGAAAAAATCAAAAAAAATAAATGATAAACCTTCACTAAAGAAAACATATCGAATCATTTTACATACTTTACGAATATAATCAATTATCCACAAGTAAAATAGCATGACAAAAAATTTATTCGAAATCTGATTAAAACATTCTACTATTGAATTGAATGTCATTTAAACTACTTCTCAAAATAGAAGACACTCCTCTCATATTAAAAGCTTCCTTTATAGAGGTATGCACGAGTAATGATGAGGTCGTAGACCTTGAAAAATTGAAGATTACTCACATATTATCTCGTTCGAATACACATTATCGATTCCGACATAATTGCCAGAGTGTATTAACCTTTTCAGTAAAGAGTCAGTATATATACGACCTAAGCGTTTATGCAGATAATAACTTTGGTAATCTTCTCTTTTTCCTTATGTTTTTAATGTCAGAGCATCATTTTATGAAATCATATAAAGTGGCAAAAAAAAAGAAATCGAGAATTTAAAAAGTCTGTGAACAATCCATAGGATCAAGATTATTGCAGAAACTGAATTTTATTAGATATATATGATAAATAGAAGGATCTTACTGTTTTTCATTGACACATATATATATATCCGATTTCATGTCTCTATAAGCGAACTAATATTTTTATTTTTACATCGTTATAATATGAATAATAAATTTCGAATAGTTTTGTAAAACTTTATAATTTGTTTTTATTAAAACAAAATAATAAATAACAAATTTGAATTATTTTCGAGTTCTTTTCTTTTTTGATGCTGTTTGAATTCCACCATTTTTACCAAGTTTTGTTTGTGAACGTCGTTGTTTACTTTTATTATGATGTCCTTTTTTCATTGAATTAGGTGCTTTCATATTTTGTAATACAGACATTTTTTTTGATAATGGTGTTTTAATTCTAAAAAAAAATAAATAAAAATAAAAAAAAAGATTTTTCTTTTTAATTTTATTTACTTTAGTTTTTTTGATGATGATTCATCATCATTCTAAAAATATTGAAGAATAATTATTGAAATAAAAATGAATAAAATATATTATTACTTTTTCATTTGTTTCATTATCATTAATTTGATTATTACCCATAAATAAACCTGTACTTGAAACAAATTGATCATCAATTTCAGCTATTTCAATTGTATGATTTTTTAATTCAACTGTACGTTTTTTTGTATGATTTTCAACTGTATCAAGTAAACCTAATGCTTCATGTCGTTTTTTCATATCTTCACGACGCTAAATTTACAGAAAAAATTATTCATTTTTTTTTTGTTTTTAAAAATTACTTTTTGTCTTAAATTTTTTAAATCATTTTTTATTTCATCTTCAAGTTCTTTTTGTGCTCGTTCACGTCTTTCAAGTTTACGTTTATGAAAACCTTTAAGATATTCTCTAAAAAAAAAAAAAAAATATTTAAATTCAACAAAAAGAAATCTTACTTTCGTGCTTGTTCATCAAAAATAAGTTGAGTTTTTGTTTGACGATTTTTTTTTGATCGACGTTGAACAAGAAATGATGGAGCACTTTCATCATCATTCATCATTGTTTAAAAAATGTTTCTTAAAATTAATGCTAGATATTAAATTTATTAGATCTAGAAATGATAAACATGTGTATATTCATTTTCAGAAACGTAAAAAAAGACAAGTGCCAGTTAATGTCATAATTTTTACAAATTGCAAAATTTTGCTACACACATCAATATAAACATTTGATTTAAATTTAGATTGACAAGAATATTTTTCTATTCATAATAAAAATTTAGATTCCTAACAGTACAAAATAAAGGCTTCGATATTAAAAATAAACATTTATGAGTAGAGTTACGCGCTAAAATTAATAACTGATATCAATCAATTTCATTTTGATTTTTAATTATATATTTCCTATTGGTCAAATGATTTAAACCAATAAATATTAATAAAGATATATATTTTTATTTTTCTAATTTACAATATTTTATTTTTCTAAAATTATTTTCATTTTTTACAATTTAATTTAAAATTATTTCATTTTTTTTTTTTTTATTAAAAATCCATTTTCTACCATTTTAAATCCATATAGGGAATCAAACAAAAGTTTTATTCTCATTTAAACAGTACTGAATGGAACGACCGTTGGCGCGTGTGTGTCTCCATTAATTAGAAAAGAAAATTACATTTTATTTCTTCTTAGTTCTAGATGTCCATTAATTGTCATTAATAAAAGAAAAATGACAACAACAACAACAACAAATGATGAAATTGATTTTGATTTTTCACAATTCGATGATACATTAATAAGTGATAATCAAAAACAAAATTTAATTGATTATATTAATCAAATAAAAAATCAAAAACGTTCAATTTCTGATGAACTTAATCAATATAAATTATCAACAGGTAGTATAACATTAGATTAAAAAAAAAAAACACAACAACAATTTTTTTGTTTTGCTTTATAATTTTTTTTTCTTTTACAAAGCGAACGAACGAATATTTTTTTTTTTATTTTCTTTGCTATTTGTATTCTTATTTTTTTCTTTTCTACTACGTCGTTATCCTTTGGAGAAAAAAAACTAAATAAATAACAGACATCAATATTCAATATGAATAAAAATGTAAGTATAGTTTTTTTTTTTTTTTGCATGTTGTTTTTGCTTGATTCAAAATTGTTTTTTGTTTTTGTTTAAATTAAATAATTTTTCTTTAAGGTAATGTAAAACGACGACGTACAACAAAACGACAATTATTATCAAATTCAATATCATTACCAATAATAAATAATGAACAAACAAATAATTTACAAACAATGTTTGAAACATTAATTTATATTGTACATGAAATAAATCTTGAACAAATTAAATTATCAACAACAATTAATCAATTAATAAAAAGAATTAATCAAAATGAATTATATTTAAATCAATTAAATAATAATATTGAAAATTTATATGAACAATATCATGTAAGAATTTTTAGGTTTTTTTTTTGTTTGAAAATAAAATGTTGTTTTTTTTTTTTTTTAATTTAGACTAAACAATATTCAGAATTTGAAATAGATCCAATTGATTTACCAGTAAAATTATCATCATCATCAACAATTATTGATAATAATTATCAACAACCAATTGATATGAGTACAACAGGAAATAATTATAATTCAATTGATAATACAACAACTAAAACTATTGGAAAATCTTCATCAAATAAAGTATAAGAAGATTTTACTATTTTGTTTAGAATAGAAACATGAGGTTTTTGTTTTTTTTAAGGATACTTTCGATATCTTGTATAATCATCTTAATCCTTTGAGAACGGACTTTTTACAGAAGAAATAAAACTGTAGTATTCGAATATAGTATTAACTATCATCCGAAGAAAAACGATGGCCGTTTTCTAGCATTAAAAATGTCTCGTAAAATGGTATGACGGATTACAGCGAAATAAAGTCAAAATTAATTTCATAATTTATCATTTTTTTAGTTGTTTCAGACCAGATGAGGCGCCATCGCCGACGATCGGAATGATCAACTTGAGAATAGAGAATTTTAAGATAGAAAAATTAAATAAAGTATTCGAAGAATCTACTCTAATCAATCCTAAGTAGAGAGCTGCGGATCCTTCCAGACCCAGGTCCGGGTCTAAACCTAAGAGAAAAGTCAGACCCGGTCTGCCATTAAGTTATGAATGGAAATATATAACAATAACAATTGAAGTCAGCAAAATTGAAAAAGAAACAGTCAGAAATAATTTTACACTCATTTTACCTTTAAAGACGCTAATAAAGAGCTAAAATTGTGTTCCCTTTTCTGTTCATGTACACATAGAATGCCAAATATTGGTGAAAAAAGGATCGGGTCTAGACCCGGCCGGGTCCGGGTTTAGACTCAGCCGGATCCGGGTCTGAAAATTTAGTTTTTCTGGGGCCCGGGTCCGGGTCCAAAAAAAACATGGATCCGCAGCTCTCTAATTCGGAGTCTTTCATTTCTATTCAAAGTAGTGGCGAAACCAGGATTTTAACGGTAGAGGGGCTCAGCTGGTCGAGGTCTAAGTCGATGGTGGGGCTTAGCCCCACCTCCTGGTTACGCCACTATTTCAAAGCCGTATATATACAGCCATGGCCACCGAAGGCTAAATGTCCTGAAAAAACTTTGAGATCCTAAGCTAATTAATGCGATTTTTACAATATCGTAGTTTGTCCTCAGAAAAACTGTTTTGTTTTTTTGAATTATTTAGGAAATATCGAATGTATTAGTTTGCCGAATAAAAAGAATTTCAATTTAAAAATATTTGCACGTCAATGAACTCTTTTTGTTCTTTTAGGAATATATTGAACTTGGTGATCCATCAATTGGTTTATCTTGTCTTGTATTAAAACGTAAATATGATCAAGTACGACGTCGTACTGAATTAGCATATATTCATGGTGAAAAACGTGCTATTGGTCGTTTATTAACATTTTTAATTCGACAATTTTTTTCTAATGAAGAATTACGTAATGCATCATTAGATGGTCGTGTACGTAATACACAAGCATTATCAAAAGATCGTATGTCTATTATTGATAAACATTTACAAACAATATTTGGTATTGATTATAATTTATATCGAATAACAAAAGATTGTGCTGAACAAGTTAATGTTGTTTGTCGACATGCTAGAAATCCAAAAAATTTTTTCGATAATAATAATAATAGTAATACAAATATTAAAATTGAAATGAATAATAATTCTATTATAAATCAAAATGATATTGTTGAAGATAATGAATATGAATCATTTCAAGAACAATTATTTATTCAAGCAAATGGTAAAAATAAAAAAAAAAGTTTTCTCTTTTGTATAAATGTAGTTTTCTTAGAGAAATTTTAAAAGTAATTTTTAAACAGAATTTTCGTTCAATTAAAATCTGATATCAATAGAAATTTCAAATTCCCAAGAATGAAATCACTGAACAACAAACTATCAATACTCAAAATTTGGTTCTGTACATTTCGAATTTGAATTTCTATCATTCAAATATGAAATAACGAGAGAATGTTTTCAACTGTTCAATTGCTTTTGAGTTCGGATTCTATACACCCATTGGGATATAAAAAAAACCCCGAAAGGATAAATGTCCTTAGGCCTTCTGTTCAGAGTTATAGGCATTTTAGTCTATGGCATGGTATATACCAAAAAATCGAATGACGCTATTTCAAGCTGAGATTTAGCTAACAGTCAGGTCTATTACTGAGTAAAATGTCCTGAAAATTTCAGTTGGAAAAAATGTTTCCTTCCCAAAATATTACAGTCTCAAAAAACAGAACATTTCAATATCGTTCATAGGACATGAGTGATTCTTGGAATTTCAATATTTTATGAAGAAAACATTTTTTCGAATTGAAATTTTCAGGATATTTTACTCAGCAATAGACCTGTCTGTGGGCTAAATCGAAATAGCGTCATTCGATTTTTTGGTATATACCATGCCATAGGCTAAAATTGCAGTAAAATGCCTATAACTCTGAACAGAAAGCCTAAGGACATTTATCCTTATGGGATTTTTCATATCCCAATGGGATCTACTTTATGTACAGAGTCTGAACTCAAAAGTGATTGAACAGTTGAACGTAAGATCTATAGATTTGTAAAGTTACTCTTCACATTTCGAATCTTATTTCTAAACATATGCATATTATAATTTATTAAGAAAATAACATTTTCTTTTTTAGGTTTACCATACAAATTCGAATCATCACCATCAGACAATTAATATAAATCTATTTAGATTTGTTTGACATAGATTAATCTTTACATCTTTAATAATTTCTTGTTCTTTTTTTTTTTTTGTTTTTGTTTCTATCTATGTATGTTCTCATTCTCTTAATCATATGTTGACTTGACATTGTTTATTCGTTCGTTCGCTTTAACATATTCTTCTTCTTCTTGATATACATATATTTCATGTTGAGCTTGTTTAATGATTTCATTTAGAACAACGATTTCATGAATTAGCACGTGATTATGATATTGTACATAATGAAGTAGTTAAACAACGTGAAATTGAAAGTCAATTACGTACTGAAAATGAGCAATTAAGTTAGTTGAAAAATATTTTTGAAAGGAACATTTTTTTTTTGTTTTTTTATAATAGAAAATTTATCGCATGATATTGAACAACAATTATCAACTATTCGACAAAATGAACAACAACTTAATACAAAATTGGTTTATTAAATTTTTCTTTTTTTTTTTTTTTTTAATTAAATTGATTTAATTTATAGGAAACAACAACAGAACAAGTTCGACAATTATCAACTGAAAAAGAACAATTAAAAAATACAATTCATGAAAAAGAACAAGAAAATTATGAATTAAGAAGTAAATAATCTCATAGTATTCTAATGAAAAAAAAAACAAAATTCTATAAGCAAACTAAACATTTTCGACTTACATATAGACAATATAATAAGAGATCAATTTCGAGTTATTATTATAATATTATCTCATAAGATTTATATTTTACATCGATAT